TCTTTGTTGCATCTATCTATCTAGAGCAGTAGGTTGTCTTAAGTGTCGCAAAACAGATACTAATCAATTAAGGTGTGCATTGCCTTGAGTCTGACGATATGATACATATCATGATTCGCATGTCATGATATATTCTGCAGGGTAGCTGCGGGGTCTTTAAAAGGCTTTAAAAGGTCTTAAATTTCATGTTCCTAAATTAAGGCCTTAAAAAGTCTTAATTTTAATCTTATTAAATCTTTAGTTATTATAATTTTATTATGTCCAAGTCTTATTTTTTTTCCACAAAGGTCTTAAATTTCATTAGCCTATTTTCTTGTATCCTGAACCGGGCTGCAGTGCAATGTTAAATGGGGGGGAAAAGTGAAATCACCTAATTTAGAGTATGAGTACTTTGTCTTGTTAGAATGTTATAAATTATTTTTTGGCCATTTTACAAGCAATGCATATGACTATAAATGAGTTCTGAATGAGTTTTTATAATAAAAGTATTTTTTGTTATTTAAAGCAGTGAGTAATGGTCATAATTAGAATTAGATCTGGTGTTTTTCGCTCGCATAATGGGTGCGATGTTGGTCTTAATTTTTATTTAAGTGGTCTTAAAAAGGTCTTAAAGTCTTAAATTTGGGGTAGTCAAACCTGGGGATACCCTGTCCCGATACTAAAACAATTGATGATATATTGCAATTTATCAATGATTACTTCTAATAATGCAGTCAACTACACCTTCAAAAGAACACAATTGTTTGACATAATTTATTATTTTTTAAAATCATGAGCACAGTGAATATAACTTATGAAGTTTTGTGAAAAATATTATTTACAAAATCGATTCAGATCCATTTTCAGTTGATTTGAGAATTGTCTTTTTTTCCCCTTACACCTACTATAATCAATACTAAAACTAGTTTCGATAAGTAGACACTAATAAATGACAGAAATGAACCTTGAGCTGCATTAGAACAAGCACAAGATCATATAGACTAGTACACGCCCATGGACCACTGTGGAACCTACCTGCACCACTGCGGGATCACACAAATAAAAGACCACATGGAAGAAAGTTATATGATTTAAAAAGAAAAAACAAAAACAAAAAACACATGCACAAAATAAAGTGTTTTTCACTATCATTTTGGTATCAGAATCAGTATTCAGTCAATTCCTCAGTATCGAAATAGTTTGAAATTCTGGTGTATGATTCTAAAGTCCATGGTTTAGTCTAAGGGTGGGCAAACTTTCTGACTCATGGGCCATAAAGGGATCTAAAATTTGACGGAAGGGCCGGACCAGGAGCAGATGGAGTTTTTCGGTAATCCACCTCATAAGAGAAAAACATACCCTGGGATACATAGAAAATAGGAGTGTGCAAAAATATTCAAATATCGATATATCGTATAGTTTATTGTGATGATACAGTATCGATTTCATAGGCTGCTGTATCGATATATCGCAGAGAGTATTTTTTTGGTATATTTTACTAAATTATTTTGTCACAGTTCTACAGTTTTGTTGTTTGTTTAGTGGAAGGAAGTTTGTTTATGCGACACATTTGACATTTTCACTGTTTTGATGATTAAAATGTTTGTGTTTCATATGAACTTTGCACAAGAAGTGATTTAACAAAGACTTTTAGTATCACTTATCACTTCTAGTATCATTTAGCTATTATTTTTATTAAACTGTATCGAACTGATTTGAAATGTATCGTATCGAATTGTAAGCTCACTGTATCGGGATATGTATCGTTTCGTGACCTGTGTATCGAGGCATGTATCGTATCGGCAACTTCTTAATGATACCCAGCCCTAGTAGAAAACAAAGACCATGTTATTGAAATGTCCCACCTTTGAAAATAATTACAAAGCATTACAATAAAATATGTCTTTCAAGTCCCAGGGTGTTTACTAGGGAGGGGCATTCGATGAAATTTTCTTAATCGATCGTCGGAAGAATTAACAATCGATTATCGATTAATCATTAATGTTTTTATATTAAAATGATCATCATTATTATTACTATCTGCACTACTAATCTGCATAAATAAATTCAACTTTACGACATATAAACCGTGAACCGACTCTAGAGCCACATCAGCCCGTTTGACATTATAATGTGTTTAATTCTGTTTTGTGCAACTCTCACAGAAACGAAAACTTAAAACCACATCGCTAATTTACATAAACTAAGTGAAGATAAAACTACAGCTCTTGTGTCGCTGATGTGGTTCAATTTCTGTTGGATTAAAAGACATGACTCAGTGGAATACAGGTTAGTGTGACCAGATTTGCGTTTGTCAAAACCAGGACACCGTACGGGGGGAGGGAGGTGGGGACTCGTCTTCGACATTGAGCGACTCTCACCTGGTAAAACTTTTTCCCACTGGACACAGAAACATATGTGCTGCTTTATACACTGTGCACATGGACTCACACTTGTCCCGAACACAACAGAAAGCGTGGAATTTCTTGTACAAGTCATCGTTAAATACACATTTGTGCTTCGGTACGTTGCAGACTGACCCACTGTTTGTGTCTCGCTCCTTCTGATGCAGAGACACATGTACAGACCTGTTTGGTCACGCTACACACAGCAACCTACATTCAGTTTGTCGATTAAAATGAACATAATCGATGAAATTCTTAATGATCAATTATTGATTAATTGACTAATCATGCCCATCCCTAGTGTTTACTATTTATTGAAATGACTTTTAAAACTGAAAAAACTGAAAATGACCATTATTATTATCATTACATATGGGGCCTTAGTTTTCCCGCCCCTGGTTTAGTCCAAAGAAATTAAATTCTGAATCAAATTGGAGAACTAGAATGATTTGGACTATGTTGGTGAAACAGCTGTGATCCTTAGACATAATTATCTTTTTACGGAGAATATTCCCAAAAAGAAATCCAAAAAAAAAGTCCAGTGAGACAGTTTTGCGGTGAAGAAGACATCTTGTTATTGCCACTGCTGGAGATGGCTTAGGTGTCCTCTGTGAACAGGAAGTGAGGGTACAGTGTGCACGCACTCAACAAACACTGAACAATAGAAGATTGGAAAAACAGCAGCGGGCCCGAGCCTCTATCTCAAACAACACGGTAAATGTGAGCTTAATGGATTAATTTTGAGATAAATCATATTAACAGATTTCCTTTGTAAACACGTACCTTATTTGCTCTTTATATTTATCTCATCAATGCAATCTTGTTTTCGAGCAACAGTTAAAAAGCGCGTCAGAGAGCGTGAATGAATGGACAACCGCGATTTTAAAACTTTACAGGAAAAGTGTCCGCCACCTCCTTGTCTCTGTGAAATTGTCATGCTGTGTAGAGCTCTGGAATGAATGAATTATGCGTTAAATTTTGTCGATTTTAATTTATATTTTGTCTCTTATATATACAGTTAGTCGTAAGTGAAATTATAAATGCAAACTTGCCGGTCATACGCTGCTTTTCTTTCTTGGAGTACTGTCATTGTATTATAGGGTTAGACATAATAAGTAGGGGTGTGGAAAAATATTGAAATATCGATATATTGTATAGTTTAATATGATATCGTGGGCTGCTGTATTGGTATGTCACAAAGAGTATTTTTAGTTATATTGTAGTAAATTATTTTGTTACAGTTTTGTGGCTTGTTTAGAGGAAGGAAGCTAATTTATGCGACACGTTTGACTTTTTGACTGTTTTGGTGATTAAAATGTTTGTGTTTCATATGAACTTTGCACAAGAAGTGGTTTAACAAAGACTTTTAGTGTCACAGTCATGATTTAGCCTTTAATTTTTATTGAACCGTATCGAATCAATTTGAAATATATCGTATCGAACCGAAAGTGCACTGTATCGAGATATGTATCGTATCAGCAAGTTTTTAATGATAACCAGCCCCAATTATAGTGACTTTTTACTTTAGCCTAAACCCTTTCAGTCCTGATACTACTACTACTACTAGTACTATTACTATTACTACTAATACTAGTACTACTATTACTACTAGTACTACTTCTGTTACTGCTGCTACTGCTACTACTATTACTACAACTATACTATTACTACTGTTACTACTAGTACTACTACTATTACTATTACTACTAGTACTGCTACTACTATTACTACTACTAGTACTGCTATTACTACTATTATTACTACTATTACAACTACTATTACTATTACTGCTACTACTATTACTATTACTACTAGTACAACTATTACTACTACTATTATTACTATTACTACTGCTACTATTACTCCTACTACTACTACTTCTTTTACTACTACTATTACTGCTACTTCTGCTACTATTACTACTACTACTACTACTACTAGAAACCACCTACGTTACATTTATAGAGTTGTGTTTTAATTGCTCAGTACCTTTTTAAAAAGAAATTCATTCTGAGAAAAGTCGCCTTGCCGTGGATCTGACCTGAAACCTCTTGCGACCGGGAAGATGGATAAGGAAAAGTTCCAGGCCAAGCAATAATGAATCCATTAGGGATGGGACGAGATCTTGCGCTACAATATTTCTCAAGACAAAATCGCCACAAGATTGCGCACACATGGGAAATTATCTTGTGAGATTTAGTTTCCATGTGTTTATATTTGGATTGGACAAAAAGGGGTCAAGTACTAGTTATACCTCTAGAGAAGCTGTAGTTCCGAAAAGCAGTGCTATAATGAGACCAAAATTATTAAATAAAGCTTGTAAAAAAAAATGATGGGGCCAAAATTGTGAGTTGAATTGCCCAAGTTTTTAGTTATATTTAAACTAATAATATAAATAATATTGTCAGGTCTTGTTCTCATGGACCCAATCTCTCGTCTTGTCTTGTTTTTGGGGAAATTATATGTCGTCCTAAATCTAATATCCATGGAGAGAAGTAGGTGACAGATCCTATCATAAAAGTTACATAGTGCGGCTTTAATTAAACACCACTGACCCAACCAACGTAATACGACCTGCTGTAACCCCAACCTTTCTCTTGCCCCCCTCTCCCGTAGACAGTGAGCGGGCCGTGGACGCGTGAGCCTGAGCCATGAGTATCGAGATCCCGGTGGGGTTGACGGAGCTGCTCCAGGGCTACACGGTGGAGGTGCTGCGGCAGAGGCCCACGGACCTGGTGGAGTTCGCCGTGCAGTACTTCACCCGCCTCCGAGACACGCGCAGCCAGGACGGAGGCGGCACGGGGGCAAAGAAGGGCGTGGTGTTCGACGGGGAGCCCATGCAGACGGAGTCCAACGGGGAGGACGACGACGACGACGACTCAGACTTTGAACGTGAGTACGCGGGAATAATGTACTGGTACGTTGCAGTGACGTCACGCTGGGGGTGTTGTACATGAGTTACGATGGTGGAAAAGCACTGGCAAAACAGTTTTAAGATCGTCTGAGAACTCTTGTGACTGTCGTTTTACGTGTGGGTCATTCAACGTCAGATCTCCGAATGCTCCCGCCCGACCAACTCAGATTTAACTGAAAAAATTTTAGGAGGTTCACACACTTTCCAACAAGAAAACTCCCAAATTTTAGCTCCCAACTCCTTATAGTTTTGTCATTAAAAGATATTTTGTCAACTCTGCCCTGACCTGGTTTTGAGCAGAGTTTTACAAGGAGCCACATTCAGATTGCTGTAACTAAAAAACTATTTAAGGTAGGTCCTTCAAATTTTCAAGGGTTAAAAGTTGTCAGATGTACTTGTAGAATATGTGCTTTTGATTTATCACAGATTTCTGGGGGCTTGAATTTGCTCGAAAAATTTACTCTTCAAAGTTGAGGGCATCTTTGAAGGACTGTGGAAAGTGCAATTTCAACGACAGAGGTTTGATATTGAACATACACCATCCCACACAAGTTGTGTACTTTATATTTTAAAACTGAACCTCTGTGATGAACGCTCTAGAAGATATTAAGTGTTAAAAATTGAAAAAATAAATTGGTGCCATCTTTACCATGTTATACCAAAAAAAAAAGATAGCACCCACCAACATAAAATGGACTACATACAATAGACTAGTGCTGGGTTCCTTTACAACACATCATTTCTAAAATAGATGTTCCTACAAGAGGATGCCTATATACAATTCAGGAGTGTTACACCAAAACATCTGAAAGTTTCCTCAAAGAGTTGAGATAATTTACAATAGTTGAGTTTAAGCTGTGTGTCAAATATTCAGAGTGTTTTCTCAGCTTCGCCCTCATAGTCCATGAATGTTCTGCATGTATGTGGACACCACATGTTCAAAAATTAATTTAGCAAAAATAAGGCAGAACACATCACAAATTTTGGATATGTTAAAAAACAGACATCTAGTCTTTCTAAAACAGTCCATTTTATGTTGGTGGGTGCTATCTTTTTTTTTTTTTTTGGTATAACATGGTAAAGATGGCACAAAATGTATTTTTTCCATTTTTAACACTTAATATTTTCTAGAGCGTTCATGACAGAGGCTCAGTTTTAAAATACAAAGTCCACAGTGTGTGTGGGAAGGTGTATGTTCAATATCAAACCTCTGTCTTTGAAATTGCACTTTCCACAGTCCTTCAAAGATGCCCTCAAATTTGAAGAGTAAAATTTTCAAGCAAATTCAAGCCCCCAGAAATCTGTGATAAATCAAAAGCACATGTGTAAAAATCCATATTCTACAAGTACATCTGACAAATTTTAACCCTTGAAAATTTGAAGGACCTACCTTAAATAGTTTTTTAGTTACAGCAATCTGAAAGTGGCTCCTTGAACAACTCTGCTCAAAACAGGTCAGGGCGGAGTTGACAAAATATCTTTTAATGACAAAACTATAAGGAGTTGGGAGCTAAAATTTGGGAGTTTTCTTGTTGGAAAGTGTGTGAACCTCCTAGATTTTTTTCAGTCAAATCTGAGATGGTCGGGCGGGAGCATTCGGAGATCTGGCGTGGAATGACCCGCGTGAGACTTGTGTAACAGCACAAATCATCTCATCTGTGGTAATTTCCACTAAGTCAGCTCTTTATGGTCAGGTTGTGCTAAAAAAAAAAGATCAGATTAAAGTCTAATTTGAGTAACAGAGCTTCAGATAGAGCAGTGCTTACAGTTAGCACCACCCCCCCAGGAAATGTTGATGACGTCAACTGCAAAGTATCAATTAACTCATGCTGCTACTGCTGATGGTGTGGTTTTTAAATTTGAGGTTTGACTAAATGCGTTTCTATGGTCCAGTGTCAAAAGAGGTGGTATTACACTTTCTGTGGGGCATTAACTGCTAACACATAACATCCATGTTAAAGGGACAGTTCAGAATTTTGGACATAGGGCCTCATTTCCTCGTGAGCCAGAGTGTTGGAGACGTGTGGAGACACTTTTTAAAATATTCCATCCAGTCCTTATATTTGCAGAGGTCACTGGTGCTAGACTAGTGCATGTCAATGGCCATAGTTATCCTGCCGCTAAAAACAGTCTTACCCACTCCACAAAACACACAAAGCAAATCTATTATTACACCAGACTGTCCATGTGAATGTTTGTGTTGATAGAATAATTTTAGAAGTAAAACCAACCTTGCATTTGAAGGGATTTATCTCTGAGCAGCAGCAGCGAGTTGTACTTCCTGATAGAAAGCTTGGCAGCGGCGGACTGATATATGAGAAAATAGTCCCTCAACATGTGACGATTCATGCGATACAAGGTTAGTTTTATTCCAAACATTATTCTATCAACACAGACATTTACATCGACAGTCTGGCATAATAATAGTTTTGCTTCGGGTGTTTTGTGGAGTGGGTAAGACTGTTTTTAGCGGCAGGATAACTATGGCCATTGACATGCACTAGCCTAGCACCAGCGACCTCTGCAAATACAAGGACTGGATGGAATATTTAAAAAAGTGTCTCCACACGTCCTATGTCCAAAATTCCGAAGTGTCCCTTTAACTTCTATTGTTTTGAAAATCCTATATATTCCAAAAACATATTCACTCTCTTTTCAAAGCGCTATCACATTACAGTAGTTGTTTATTTCACTAATAACGCGACTACACATCAGATGAGATTTGTGAAGTTGTAGCACATTGTTTTGTATTGTGCTTTTGTGTATTTACGGAAAATTTATGTGTGGAAGCATAAGTGACATAGATTTGTGAGCAGAATCTTACAGCTAATCATGCGGACGGTTCAAATAATGCCCAGCAGAGATCACTAAATTATTCAAACATAAATAGATTACATACCATACCTCTTTCAGGCATGTTTTTGACAAGGAAACAACATTATAACATGGTAGAAAGTCGCTCTTTAACAAACATGGTCAATAAGACTCAGTACAATAAGAGAATTCTCGGTAGGTGTTGAAATAAACAATTATTCGTTCTTTAGATGTTGAATATTGATAGCTTTATAATGCAATTTCAAAATGAATCCCTATTACAAATGATAATTGGTGTCTGCTTTATGAATCAAATTGGACTGTGTTTTGTATTAAGGCAAAACCTTCTGAATAGTGCAAAAATGTGTCTCTAAATATAAAGCAGCGGCAGCCGAATCAGACCCAGACAGCAATTTTCTACAACAATTGAGATAAATGATGTAGATGTAGAATTTTCAGCCGTCTAATATTAAACTTATGGAGATTTTGAGACGCTGACTTTCATTGTGACGCTAAAGGTTGTTTTAAAGCTGTTTTGTTACATTTTTATATTCATTTTCATGTATTTTTAAATCAATCTCTCATCTGCAGTTGAGACTTTACTGCATCTACTAAACAATAAACTTCTCGAGTCCTGTCTCCTTTAGCTGTTTTCACTGTAGACTGTTTAAAATTGGACTAAGTGAGTGTGACGTCACCCACAGCGTTTGGCTCCAGTCTAATGAAGCTCACGAGGCTAAAAATTATAGAAGAGCATTTGGAGCCAGGTCAATATTAGGAAACGAACTTTAGTTACCTATGAAATGGCAAAATACAAACACCAGGATCGTGTAGAGAGGGTTCAGCGGAACATTTTAAGACCAAAATGATGAGGCTCACTGCAGCACTTACACAGAGGGGCAATGTAAAGTCTATTGGAAATGGAGTCATTGGAGCCAGAAAATCTGTTTATCATTTGTTCATTCATTTTTCAAAATAAAACCAAAAATAAGAAAACGAAAAAACAACAATTTTCTTTATTATTTGTCACCAAAACCAAAATGTTTCCGTGACTTCCGTGACTGCGATGCTGGACTTTTGTGCTGCATACGGACTGAACCAGGACTACACTAGGTCCGGGACCAGACCGGGACTGAGACCAAGACTTAGAAATGGGACCAAACAAGGACTGAGTCTCGGACCGAGACCGGGAACAGAGACCGGGAACAGAGAACAGAGACCGGGAACAGAGACCGGGAACAGAGACCGGGAACAGAGACCGGGAACAGAGACCGGGAACAGAGACCGGGAACAGAGACCGGGAACAGAGACCGGGAACAGAGACCGGGAACAGAGACCGGTGTAGTTCTGGTTCAGTCCGGCATCGGAGTCACGGAAGTCATGGAAACGGGAAACGGCCATTATCCGTTTTTTCATTTTGGTTTTGGAGACAAATAATGAAGAAAATAGTTGTTTTTTCGTTTTATTTTTGGTTTATTTTGAAAAACGGATGAACGAATGATACACGGGTTCTGGAAGTGTCCCCATGCTCACTTCCTATTTGGAACGTGGCAGCTAGTGGGTTAACTTTGTCCATTTTTACATCTACAGTCTTTGGTTTTCACTTTTTTTTTTACCCTCTTTCATTTGATTTTGCCAGTATCACGACCTCTGACTGTTGACAAGCGGGCATATGACGAGAGTAGGTTTTCACACCATTTAAAATCCTGATAGTTGATAGTACTTCTCTCTATCTCTCCTCTGGCCTGTCTCTTGTTCCACTCAGCTGTCGGTGGTGCACATGACCACGGCTTCCCGGGGCCGTCTCACAATCACACAGAGCTCCTCACAGTCAAAGTCATGTGTCTGGGCCCTCAGCGCTACACTCTCTGAACCCGGGCACTTTTCAGAACAACCACCAGTCTCCAACGCTTATTTGTTTAAAAAAACGAAGATCTAAAATTATTCTCGCTTCAGGTTGAAATGGGTTATAAAATTTGTAACTATTTATAACTTTTTATTATATTATAAGTTCACCGAATCCAGCAATTTGTTTTGGTTCACTATTTTTGACTCTTATTGTAGGGCTGTTATTAACAATTAGTACCGTATTTTTCAGATTATAAGGTGAATTCTCTCGTCTGTTTTCATACATAAGGCGCACCGGATTATAAGGCACATTAAG